TGCCGCCAAGAGAGATGATGCAAGAAAAGCGATAGATGAAATGCAGAGAAGCGGAGTAATAGAACAATCGACAAGCCCATATGGTCTTCTCCGTTAGTTCTAGTTGGTAAGAAAAATGGATCTACTCGCTTTCGCGTAGATTATCGCAAGCTAAACAGTATTACAAAAAAAGATTCGTATCCGCTTCCACGGATAGACGATACACTAGAAGCTTTGGAGGGAGCATCATGGTTTTCAACACTCAATTTGAAGTCGGGATATTGGCAAGTTCAACTTGATACATCGGCCAAAGAAAAGGCAGCATTCCCTTTGCCTGGAATGGGACACTGGCAATTTAAATCATGCCTTTCGGATTGTGTAATGCACTAGCAACTTTTGAACGTTTGATGGAGTATGTTCTGGTGGGTCTTTCTTGGATAGTTTGCTTAGTGTATCTAGAGACATCATAGTCTACGGATCATCATTTCTGAGTCAAATGGAAAATCTTAGAAAGGTCCTTCAGCAGTGAGACGGGCAAATCTAAAGCTGCCGCCTGAGAAATGTGTTCTTTTTCAAAGGACAAGTTACTTATCTGGGATACATCGTAAATGGACACGGAGTATCAGCAGATCCCAGCAAAATAGAAACGGTTTCATCATTGCCAGTACCAACGAAGGTGACGCAAGTCAAGAGATTTCTCTGCCTAGGTTCTTATTACAGGCGATTTATAAGAAATTGTTTATAAGACATCTCTCTAATTATACAGACATCTCTCTAATACAGACATTTCTCTAATACAGACATCTCTCTAATACAGACATATCTCTAATACAGACATCTCTCTAATACAGAAATCTCTCTAATACAGACATTTCTCTAATACAGACATCTCTCTAATACAGACATATCTCTAATAAAGACATTTCTCTATTACAGACATCTCTCTAATACAGACATCTCTCTAATACAGACATCTCTCTAATACAGACATTAGTCTATTACAAACGTCTCTATATCTACAATGCAGACATTTTAACTTTTGATTGATGTGAACGGGGAAATAGTAATGATGTAATGATGTATGCGTGTTCTTATCTGAATGTCCATAACTTATCTTTTTGTTTACATCTATCAAAAGAAGAAAACTTGGTCGTAATACAGGCATCTTTCCAATACAAACATCTCTCTGATATGAACGTATTTTCATCTGCACACTTCGGCAAGTCAAGACAGTTTGACACAATTCATCCCAAGTTATTGATCCGAATTATTAATTAAAAAGGACAGGCGTGCATTATTAAAAACGAGAACTCTTGGCTGTGTTAAAACTTCAAGCTGACTTCAAAAGATGGACAAGAAAATCATGTATCACTACACTTAAACCTGGGCTTAATCACACCTGATCTCTGCCAGTCGAGATGCAGAATTTATGAAGGTACATTCGGTGAACTGTTATTATTCTATCTCTGTTCTGGCATTACACATTAGAAATAGCTCTAATTCTCTGTTTCAACAACCGCCACTACCAAAATATAGCAACGCGCAATCCAGCTTAGTTTTAAACCTAATTTCGGTCGGTATTAACTTTTCGCCATTATAACTAATTGGACGAACCGGACGGTGACCCAGCTCAGAACAACGGATATTTCGTTTCCAATGGCAACGATACGATCTTCCGTTAGAAATCTAGGTTCATGCGATCAGACACGCGATAACACACCTAATCTTAATAAGATGAAAACAAATAAATATTCCCAGAAGATTGTGGACGAAACTTCCCTTGCGAATGAACTGTAAATATAGTGCAATATTTGACATATTTTTCAGGAAAAATCAAATAATTTATTTAATATTATTCAAATTGTTAATACACAATGTAATTGTAAATTCCTTTTTTAACATGAAAATTTATAAATATTTTTCATATTCTCGGGATATAATAAAGGTATAAAATGTCTGTTGATCAATATGACACAAAGTACCATATTTTTAATTTATTTTTTAAACATGTTAGCCAACATTTGTGTTTGCTGCTGCTGCTGCTGCTGCTGCATTAAAGCCAACATTTGCTGTTGTAGAAAAGCAAATTCTTGCTGGTGCTGTTGTTGTTGCTGTTGTTGCATTTGTAATTGCTGTTGTAGATGTTGCTCAGACAGCTTCATTTGCTTGCTGAACTGTTGCTGACTTTGTTGCATTACCTGCAAAAGTTCCATATGTTGGTTCATTTGCATCTCCGCATGCTCCCGTTTTCTGCCAGCTTTAACCCCCTGTCTTTTTGTTCCAATTCCACTCTCTGCTGCAACCACTCCATCATGTCTCCAGATTTTCTTCTCTTCTGAGCTCGACCACTCTCACTTGGCATTCCAACCCTTTTCTTTGTTTCCTCCAACCTCTCCATTGCTTGTTCCCTCTCATCAACTCTCGTTCATTCTCGATCCAGTCTGAGTTCTTGCTGCACACTCTGTTTCCATCTGCCGATCGGTCTCGTTCTCAATATTGATTAGGTCTTCCATCAGTTTTTCATACTCCGTCATTTCTTCACCACATTCTCCTGTAGCTCGTTCTTCTCTAGGCACGATATTTCTTTGCTGTCAAACTGTAGAGCTCTCTGACCCCCGTCAAAGTGACTGCCTGACCCAAAATTCTGACATTATCAGCTACACTTTGCCACCCCAGACCACGTTCTCTTGACCTTTGCTTATGTGTCAGAACACCTACAGCTGCCACTTCCTTCAAAAGTACTAGGTCTTTGTCTTTTGACCACACCATGCTGGGCCTAATGAAATATTTTACACTTTTAACTGAAATTTTTATTTATTACTTAAGCAGTAGTGAACAAACTCTGGGCGATATTGCTGAATAAATAAGCTACACTTGGGGCAAAGTGAGAGTTAAGTGCATTGGCATATTAGGCTGTATGTATATCAAAAAATTAATTAAATTGTGCTAAGCTTTGATGTGTGTACAATACCTCATGTTTGGGGAATCCTTTTTGTCTTCCTTAGAGCAAATGGCACTTACTCAAAATCAATAATGCTGAAAAAAGACAAACGAAATTAGGAAACGTTGTGTCAAGAGTGAACAAATTATATTCTGCCTGTATGATTATACGTGAAAACGTGAACAATCTGTTTGAAAATCATGTTAAATGTTGAAAAAAACCATGTAACGTCAACTGTTTGAACACCACAAATTCCCAATTCACAAACGATGAACATTATTAGTTAATGATGATTGTAAATGCGTGTATCTTTAAAATCATTCTGATACAGACAGAGCCTGGTAAACTTATTTAAGTTCTTCAAATCTAAACTTTGTACTTACTGCTTTTTAGATCAATAAGGATGGTCTGTTTAAATATTTATGAAAGACTAAAGCAGAATGAACCCTTGAACATGAGGTGTGATCCAGTGGAAAATCACAGGAATCTTTATTTCGTCAGATAGGTTTACGCGAACTTAACCAGGTTTACGCGAACTTAACTGGCTCCCAGTAAAAGAACAGCTATTACTCAGAGAGGCTATTATGATGTACAAATGTGTAAATGATCTCGCTCCACATTACCTGTGCGATTTATTCACTAAGCGGTCTGATATTCACCAACGAGATACACGTAGCCAAGATCTACTGCAAATACCACTTTATAAAACTTCTGTGGGTCAAAGGTCTTTTCACTATAGAGGTGTTACACTCTGGAACGAGTTGGACATTAAGTATAAAACTTTAGATTCTCTAAAAACTTTTAAAAGCGAATTGAAGCAAAGTTTCTTGGAACAACTATATAGTTGAATACTTACAGTACTTTGTCTTGATATTTTATATAAATGTCTTATTTAGTAGCGTAGATTAATTTTAAATTTTAAAACTTGTAAATAGATTAATTAACATCTTATCCATTGTAAATTAGTGTTGAAAAATCCTGCTTGGGAACACAATAAAAGTTTGTATTGTATTGTATTGTATTGTAGAAAGGTTTTTGATCAATAATCCGTTTCTGAAACATTTTTTCTCAACTGTAAATTAGAATTTAAATTTTTCACCCTTTATACTATTAGTTAGAAGAATAGGGACAAATAACACCAGGCGTACGATAAGACGCTTTATGACGTCATGATCTCAGATCAGCTGGAAATGGCTAGTTCTTGATAATCCAAACACCTTTTTTAAATTCATCTCGGTAACCTGGCTCATATGAACAACCCCTCAGTTATGAATAATTTCTTTGAAAAAGTGTACAATATATTGAGGACTGTAGTAATATTTATATTGTACCTAAACAAACAACACCTTGTGTTAAGCACTTTATAACAAGGATATTTCAAGTGTAAAAAATGTTAGGTTTTGAGGCGTAGCCATTTGCCACTGCTTCAACCAAGTACAACTTTACACGACAACCTTAGTGTATGACAGTTTATTCACTCTGATATTACAGGACAGGATTACATCAATATACAGGGTGTCTCAAAAAAAACGCAACCACTTAATATTCTAAAATCATATTGTTCATAAGCTCAATAGATTTTATGCCCCTGGGATTTTAAAAGGGCTTCTAATCGTACAGTTCAACTGCTGATAGTCAAATCAGCTAAACTAATAATGGTGCAGCTAACAACCGAACAACGAGTTTTTATTGTCGTGCACGATAACTTGAATGCTAACTGTCTACCTTATAAAATAAGTTGTAAATAACATTTTACTCGTTAAATACTTTCAATTCAGCTCGTTGGTTTACGCACCCGACTTTGTTTACCGACGATTGTGCCGCTAGAATATGATTACAAGCTTTCTCGCATTCCAGGGGCCAAACGTCTTTTGTGTTGTAGAACAAAGAGGATATTTCATGAATATCTTTTAGAAAATTTAGAAAATTTATTAGAGAAAAGAGACACTGGCAGTCATGAGACTGAATTATGTGACTTTTACATACAAATATATACGATAATTTAAAATACATAATAAAATAAGGAACAATATATATTTACAACTTATTAGACCTTTTTAGTCAAAGTCACAATTATGTGTTCTTTAGATTAGATATATACAATCATTTAAAATTGAAAACAATACATATATACAACTTGTTATCAATTAGCAAAATTTGCTTCAGTACTAAAACTCATTATAAAAGAGTTTTTGAAACGATCTGTTCGGCATTGTGGCGTGTTAAAAGTTCTATTATTTCTCAGAAAACCATTACAGCTATTACGAGGGGGAAGTAAACCAGCAAGTTTATGGTTTCCATTGACAACAATATCTTTAAAAAGACTTTGTGATAGCATTTCTCGCCTGTCAAAGAGGGTGGGAATAAATGCCTCTTTCAGTGCTTCATTATAACTTTGATGAGGGAAAATAATCCGCAATGCACGCTTCTGTGGTTGCGTTTTTTTTAAATAATCCGCAAGTGGTTGCGTTTTTTTTTATACACCCTGTATAAGAGGTTACATGGTAATATGTTTAGGACGTATAACATCAATTTTCACTTTACATTTATATAGCCATATTTGGTCTTTTCGTTGAGTTAACTTTGCTTACATATATATCTATGGAACTTATAGAATTAAAGATATTTACATTCAATCGATCATCAAGAATATATGATAGAGCATAGTTTAACACCCCCACTTGCTCTTTATGTTCTGACCGTTTATAATTGATGGCGTGCAGCAGGACGGGCCATCAGTATATACGCGCGCTTTACATTTCTATCCTGCACTTATTTGACTATACTTACCTTCTTTTCTTATTCTCCTAACATAATACATCTGAAACTGTGTAATTTTATCTTACTGGCTGGTTTTGTGAAAATATCTGCAATGTTCTCTTCACTTGGAATATACTCTAAATCAACTCTGCCTTCCTGTATCTCTGATCTAATGAAATGGTACTTTATGTCAATGTGTTTTGACCTCTGATGCTGAATTGGGTTCCTGGCAAAATTCATAGCTCCCTGATTATCTATCATAAAGAGTGACTCATCTTCCTAACAGCCACTCAGTTATGAAATATTTCTTTCAAATAGTGTACAATATATTGAGGAATGTAGTAATATTTATATTCTACCTAAAAAAACAACACGTTGTGTTAAGCTCTTTATAACAAGGATATTTCAAGTATATAAAAATTATGCAATGCCCAATGGGCGCGATAAAACAACCTGGCTAATTTTTTTTTTCCTTCATGGACAAACTTGGGATAGGAAGGATTCATCATTTAAAACTAACGTTGTGGTTGGTGGTCTAATTGTTCGCTGTGTTCCTTGTGGTGTTGCTAAATAAGGAATCTCAGTGTTTCGTGAGCGTAAGGTCTATCATCAATCTTGTGATTAATCAACCACGACACAAACCAACGAGCTCCGCGATTACCAAGTTTCTCCAAATTGACAGGATTATCTTCTAAAATATTTTTCATTCGATCTAATTCAGATCCAAAAGGGTGTTCACCTTTAGTTAAGATGAAGAAAGCAATCATACCCGCAACCTGGACATCAGATTTCCTTTTAAAACGACTTTTTTCTTTTTTAACTATTGCTTCAATTACTTCCGGTGGCATCCATCCACGAGTACCTTTTGCATCTGTTTCAACTGTCGTTTCATCTTCATTAACAACGCGACTTATTCCAAAATCTGCCAATTTCATGCGACCTTCGATATCAACCAGGACGTTTGATGGTTTTAGATCTCTGTGCAATATTCCTTTGCCATGAAGAAATTCTAGTCCTGATAGAATTTCCCTAATCATTCGTCGTTCTTGCTCTCTTAGATGTTCAATACTGCATGCATGAACAAGTTCCCTCAAGGTTTCTTCGCAAAGATCAACAATAAGATACATGAAGGTATCGTCACGGTGAAAATGTCGATACTTCACTATAAATGGAGAGTTTGTTTCAATGAGACTCATGATTTCCTTTTCGTTTTCAACTGTTTCATCCTCACTTTGTACCAAAATTCTCTTAACAGCAACTTCACTTCCATCCTTCATGACACCAACATAGACACCAGAAAAACCACCAGCACCAATTTTGAATCGATTCTTTGCGACAAAAGCCTGCATCGGTGTTTCAGTCTATGGACGAAAGAGTACAAATTATCTATTGTGAAAAGTTAGGAGCAAATTGAGCATTGTTATCAGTGAAGGCAAATAGTCAAAGCTCAGATACTAAGGCATTTTTCATACGAAGTCGTTACCATGGAAACCCTATTCCGAGATAGCTTCACAGAAAGTCCGCCATGCATGATATTTTAGCAGATAGACGGGGGCGTACGAAGCATCCAGAGATTGGGGGGGTACCAGCTTCCAGGTTTGGTTAATAAAGGGCAATTTTTGTCGCTTGAAAAATTTTGGGGTCGCACGTGCCCCTGACGCCAACCACCCGGTTCCTACGCCCCTGCAGAGACATATTTCGAATTATCAAGTATAGCTCGTACGGCTCGGTTTTAAAATATCTCGTGTATGTTTGAAACATTACCTCTTTTAACTGGTTGCAATTCATTTCTTTCAACATCTGAATCTTCTCACAATGATTTATAGACCTTTTGAGGATAGTTGTAATTTCATCATGACCAAGCTGAATACTCAATTCAAGAAGACTTATATGTCTTCCCTCAACAAGAAATGGTCCAGCTCTCCACACAGCGATGTTCTTTTCCAACAAAAGATTGATCAAAGCAACTGAATTTCTTTTAACAGCCATCTTGAGGATGTCAATGCAAAGATTGTGAGTGTGAAGAGTCACGTCAGCACCCTTTTCAACTAAATACTTGACAATCTCTAATCTATTAAACCTAACAGCATAGTGCAACACTGTACGCCCGTCAATATCCTTGCCATTTACATCAGCGCAATGTTCAACAAGATATTTTACAACTTCTACCCTACCTTTAAAAACAGCAGAGTGCAACACTGTACGCCCGTTAATATCCTTGCCATTTAAATCAGCGCCATGTTCAACAAGATATTTTACAATTTGTACCGTACCTTTAATAACAGCATCGTGCCGCACAGTCCACCCGCTATTTTTCACCTCATTTACATCAGCGCTATGTTCAACAAGATATTTTACAATTTCTGGCGTATCTTTAGTAACAGCGTAGTTCAGCGCTGTCCACCCTTTTTTATCCTTGTCATTTACATCAGCGCCATGTTCAACAAGATATTTTACAATTTCTGGCGTACCTTTAGTAACAGCATGGTGCAGAACTGTCCACCCTTTTTCATCCTTGTCATTTACGTCAACGCCACATTGTTCAACAAAATATTTGACAATGTCTGTTTCACCAACATCAACAGCATGATGTAAAGCAGTTTTGCCCGACTCATCTTTACAACTTAAGTCAGCACCACAATATTTAACCAAAAACTTCACAATTACTAATTTAAAAGGTGGAAACCGCATTGAAGTTATTCCATCGTCTCGAAGATGTTTCGAACCATATGCGCGCTCACTTGTACTTCCACTTGTTTCTGGCTTTATATCCATTTCTATTTCTTTTACAAACGTTAAGAATAACCAGCCAGTGGTGAAGTTTAGTGAGTATCGTTGGGAATAGTTGTTGTTCGACTTTAGAAGAGAAAGAGAAATTTACTCAGAGTTTAAAACAATTGTATTCTTTGTGGGTCCAAATGGATGAAAACTATAGTTATCTAATTATCATCTGTAAATGTTGTAAAATGTTTTATCGGTGCTAGGTCTTTGTATTCGTAGCCCGAGCACTAATAAAATTGGATTCGAGACTTCTAGTACCAATCTTAGCCGTGCCCGGCGTGCAGCGCCAATAAACGCCTTATATCGTCATTTATAATTGCTTGCAATACTGGTACCTTACTTTAACAAAATACTTCTGCTTCAAATAAAAAATAGGTTTCTGAGGTTAACATGGACGCTGCTTGATTCACTCATATAATTGCTGCGGAGCGGGCGAGCCTGAAGCGAGCGAGCGTAGCAGCAGTATAATTGTGCAGAGAGGGGGTTCTGAACTAAATTTTATTTAGCGCAAGGAATTGTGGTCGTGCGCGTTTTTTATGCGTGGAACACAAATTTTAAACTCGTCATATCCATGTGCTTTTTGATTTCGATGGACAGGGTCTTCAAATTTTTGTTAAGTTTTAAAGCATCTGTTCTATTTTGACTATTCAAGGTAAGATATTTTCATTTTTAGCTCGCCTGCACTTTAGTGCAAGAGAGCTATTGCTATAGTCTTGGCGTCCCGCCCCCGCCCCCCCGCCCCCGCCCCCCCGCCCCCGCCCCCGCCCCCGCCCCCCGCCCCGCCCCCGCCCCCGCCCCCGCCCCCGCCCCCGCCCCCGCCCCCGCCCCCGCCCCCGCCCCGCCCCCGCCCCCGCCCCCGCCCCCGCCCCCGCCCCCGCCCCCGCCCCCGCCCCTTTTTGAGATATTAACTAAACGCTCATTGGCTTACCTGTAGGACCACCAATGAGAACCAATGAGCGTTTAGTTAATATCTCAAAAAGGATGACGTTTCCTTAGGCGGAGTGACCCTCGGATAGTTTTCTCAAAATTCCGTATGAATTCCTGTTTTATTTCGCTAATTTGAAGCCTTTAAATGTTGTTTAAAAACATGGAAACTGCAGGATAATGTAGTTTAATCATCGGTAATTATTAGGTTGTAGTTTTTGTGGCGTTTCTTCAAGTAATTTTGTAGATAATTATACATTTACGAAGGTATATCTTTCATATTTTGATAAACTCTTTCCTACCTTGTCATAATATATAGACGAAGTAAACAACGTAAGCGCGACACGCGCGCGAGTATCACACGCGCAAGTCAAAGTCTGGGCTGCCTATGATTTAACGAAGTATTTGTACAACCCTAAGCCAAATAAGAAACTTTCAAATATTTTCACCTGTATGCTACCATTTGTTTGTGTTGTACTTGTACAATTATAAATTTTGAGATTGTGTTGTGACATGCCGTATCAAAATTCAATCGCTTAATATAGAAATCATTCAGGGAGTGAAAATATATAAAACATAGTCCAACGTTAAAGTTTAAAGAATATTGTCAGATAATAGATATTATTCCTCAAGGTATTTATGATCTAATATTTTTTCCCTAGTTTATAGCAATCAAATCTTAACTTTTATCGGAACCTTTACATCAAAATGGCACACGAAAAAAAATCCGCGAGAGTGTACATATGTTTCGAACCCTGAAACTTGAAAATTAAGCAATCCCTTATCGGTTATATCAGAAATTTATCGTCTTAAATACATTGTGAGTGCATTTAGCGCATCAACATAGCTATGCGATTCGCCAGTTTGGTAAAATAAAGGCCTTTTTTACGCTACTACTTTTGCATCAACCGGAAATGGCTATTTCTGTTTCCCCTACTCCGAACCCTAGAACTCTAGTTTAAATAAAGTTCAGGCTTCCTAATTTAAATCTTTTGAACAAAAATAGACCCCTGGATGCACTTAACCGAATTTTAAGCATATATTGGGTCAAACAGAACTAAAAACTCCCTTTGAGTGCTTGCGTATTGTTTTTGTCTGTTAAAACGTTGCCATTCTTGTTGTCAAAGTTTGTACTCACTTCGAACCCTGTAACTATAGTTTTAATACACTTCAGGCTTTGTAATTTACATCTTTCGAACAAAAATAGACCTTTGGGTGCACTTAACCGATTTTTAAACCTATACTGGGTCAAACAGAGCTAAAAACCCCATTTGACTGGTTGGGTATTGTTTTTGACCGCAAAAACATCGCCATTGTTGTTGTCAAAGTTTGTAGTTACTTCGAACCCTGTAACTACAGTATTAGTACACTTCAGGCTTTGTCATTTACATCTTTTTAACCAAAATAAACATGTGGATGCACTTAACCGATTTTTAAACCTATATTGGGTCAAACAGAGCCAAAAAACTCTTTCAATGCTTGCATAATATTTTTGACTGTAAAAACTGAGTCGCCATTGTTTTTGTCAAAGTTTGCACTCATTTCGAACCCTGTAAATATAGTTTTAATACACTTCAGGCTTTGTAATTTATATCTTTTGAACAAATATAAATCTGTGGATGCACTTATCCGGTTTTTAAACCTATATTGGGTCAAACAGAGCCGAAAAACCTCGTTTGAATGCTTGCGTAATGTTTTTCACTCTAAAATTGAGTCGCCATTGATGTCGCTGCTGTCCGCATCACGGATTACGCGTGAAAAAACAATAGCGTTTCCAGTCCCTGTCTTTTGGATTGTCTATGATTAGACCAAGTAGACTCGCGTACACGCGCGAGGCGCGAGCGCCGCGAGAAGGAAAACATGTCTGGGCAAGGGCTGCCTATATGTCTAAACCTGAATGGACCAACTACCGTAAAATCGTTGTGTGTGCGCCTGGCTTAAAACAGGGACTTTTGCCTGGTCCGTTAACTTACCTGTTGATATCACGTGCGCGGATTGCGAGAAACGGAAGAAATATTGGTCACATATAAAACTTATGTAATTCCGAGGCCAGTTTTGGCCAGTAATTCTGAGGTCACAACTAATATCTGAAGTTTGTGCTTAATATTACCTTCCAACGCGGATTTTAGCCTTGTAATTTGTAATGAAAAGATCGGTAATTTGTGCTTCATACAGATACCTTTCATACAGAGTTTAGCCTTATTCTAGACAAACAGTGCAGGCGAGCGTTAGGTGATTTCAGCACCTCTCTGGTTCATTCATATGTTACGTTTACAGTTACGTTTACAATTTTAACTTGTATATATTCATGAAACCCTAAAAGCATAGAATCAATCACAGCTAGATTCATGCTGTTTACATACGAACTATATAGCTAAATTCTTCTAGAATATTAAGATGTACCATCCAATTTGCTAATTCGCTTTGCTTGAGCAGTTGAGCTGTCAGTGCTGTGAAGCAAATCAAGTCTTACATACAGATGCCTTAAAGTCTTTTTTTTCCATTGACATTTGCATTGTTTGGTTGATTTCCATATTTTGCATCAAATGATGTTTCAAAGTATGCGGCTTGACGCTTCCGAGTCGTGTTTAATAACATCTCGAATAACATGACATAGTCGCAGATAAAATCTGCAATTGATCGTCTTAATTGCCGGACTGAATCACTCAGATTCGTGCAATGTTTGACTTATTTTATATTAGGTTACTGTAAGCATAGGCGTATGTTTTTTTTCCTATTTTAGAATGAGCTAAATATTTTTGTTATTCAGTGCTTTTACCGGATCTTCACGTGGTTTCTGATTACACGTCTTCTCGAGCGCGTTCAAAGTTCAAAGTATTAAGTGATGTTTTGTTAGTCTTCACATGAAGTCAAACACTTACATGGACTCTTACAACAAAGACAAATAGCATATTTCAAAAACAAATATCCATGTTACCAAAAAATGTTTTATTTTGTTAAACATGTGCTCTACTGCTCAGGACCTGTATTTTCGCTAGGCGGAATTTTGCGCCTAAAGGCTGTTTTCCACTAGGCGGAATTTTCCGCGCGGAGCGGAAAATTACGCTCGAAAAGTTTCGAGAGGAAAGGCTTTTCAATTTCCAGAAGTATCCGCTGCGAGCGAAAAAGTTGGAAAATTAATAAAACGCGCGAAAATCAAATCTCAAATTCAACATGTCGAGTGTAAAACAAAAACAACTGCAAAGATTAATAATTTTAGTTGTGCTTCGTAGGCGACTAGAAAGACAAAATGAAAAATACAAGAAGCGGTTTTGGATGCGGAAGATTTATCAAGAACGCATTTTAAAAGGAGAATTCCACCTGTTAATCAAAGAAATGGTCCTTTTTGACCACGAGTACTTTTTTCGTTGTTTCAGAATGGTACCAGAGACTTTTGAAAAACTTCTTTCTTGGGTTTCTCCTTACATACAGAAAAAAGCAACAAAAATGCGTGAGCCCATTTCACCCAGTGAAAGATTATCAGTTACTTTGAGGTACCTAGTCACGGGAGATGAACAAACCAGTATAGCAGCTAGTTATCGCATAAGCCCTTCGACCGTAGGAAGGATTATTGGTGAAACGTGTCAAGTTCTTTGGCATGTTTTGATCGAAAACGGCTACTTAAGTGCACCAAAAACTAAAGAACAATGGAAGAAAATTGCTAGAGAATTTGAGAGTAAATGGAACTTTCCACATGCACTTGGTGCCATCGATGGGAAACACGTAGTAATGCAGGCACCTGCTCGTTCTGGATCTGATTATTTTAATTATAAGAAGACACATAGTATTGTGCTTTTAGCAGTCTGTAATGCAGACTACGAATTTACTCTCGTGGACATTGGTGATGCAGGTAGACAGAGTGACGGTAGTGTGTACGCTAATAGCTATCTTGGCCATGCCATAGATAATAATCTATTGAATCTTCCTGAGTCTGAAAAGCTATTCCAACCTGACTCATCAAACAAAACCTACCCTTATGTATTTGTCGCGGACGATGCTTTTGGACTCAAGACTTTCATGATGAAACCTTACCCAGGACAGAACTTAACCCTTGCAGAAAGGGTGTTCAATTATAGACTATCAAGGGCACGGCGAATTATTGAGAATTGTTTTGGGGTTGCAACATCACGTTTCCGAGTGTTTCGAAAACCAATCATTGCAAACGTGGAGAAGGTGATAAATATTACCAAAGCAGTTGTTGTTTTGCACAAGGGAAGAAGAGAAGGGAAGGAAACATTGAAGGAATTGTCCCTATTCCGCAAATTGGTTCAAACAACTATTCTAAATCAGCCAAAAGTACTCGTGATGACTTCAAGGAATATTTCAATTCACAACAGGGTGCTGTCAGCTGGCAAATGGAAATGGTTACGCGAACCTTACATTCACTTGACAATAAAATACTGTTTAATTCACATCTTA